AGTAATGTAATGTAATACAGTTTATTTAATAATTTGAGTTATGTTCAGTTTTTACTGTTCTGTAATAGTGCTTCAGATGAACATTTTCGTGCATTTTGGCAAATGGTTGTCAGCATCTCTGGTGATCTCTTTGAGTAGATTCCTGGAAGTAGAATTATTTGAGGAAAGACATTGGAAAAGAACCTTACTAAGGCTGATGATAAAAATAGATCCCAAAAGTCACGCACATCTATATTCACACGAACAGGATGTGCTCTGGAGAGTATACCCTTCTTACCATTTTCACTAGCGCTGGGATTACTGTTTTGCTGTGTTTTTAAGTCTTAAATGAGTACATGATAAATGGATAAACATATTCCTTTCAAAGAAATATCTGGATTCATTATGAGTGGTTTAATCCACTGTCGGACAATTCAAACAGACTTGAAAGTGATCTGTTAGTTTCACCATAAGGAAGATTTTAAGTTAATATTTGATATTTAGAAGAATAAAGGTCTGCATTAGAGTTGGCATTAAAATTGTATGGAATATAATTTTTCCATGTGATGTAGAACACCCTGCCCGTGGAGGGCTGCAGAGAACCATTACAGAACTGTGTCTGTGGGCTGTGGGCAGTCGCTCAGCCTCACCAAGCCCAGGAAAGCGTTGCCAGTTACCGACCATCTGAATACATCCAGCACGACTTGGAATTTTAAGATCCTTGCATAATCTGTAAATTATTCAATTTGTTGGGGGCTTCAGACTTTAAATTAAAAATAACTCTCCCTCCTGTAGACTTAGTAATGGAACATATACAAGAGATTCGAAGCTTGAGGAGACGTTTAGAAGAATCTATTAAGACAAATGAGAAGCTTCGGGGACAGCTGGAACGGCAAGGGTCTGAACTTGATCCAGGTAAGGGAGAGCCGCCCCAGAGGCCTGTTGCACGCCTGCGAGGGCTTCATCTGGGGTGCATTTGCCTGGATCTGCATGCCCTGTGTTGGGGTGAGCTTCACACTCACTGGTGGCCAGAGAGGTTTCAGCCTGGATCCCAACCTTGCTGCTTACCTCCACAGTGACCTCCCTTAACACTGCCGACTATCAGTTACAGTAGCTTACTTATAAAGTGGGGATAATCATCCCCGTTTTATCCTGTGGCGATGAGTGTTAAGTGAGCTGAATGGAGCAGAGTGGCCCGCACAGTCCCTGGCACTGAAGGAGTCTGCTGGCCCTTGCACCCTGGATTGTGGCTGGCTCCTCCTCTGACTTTGGTCACTGGAAAGAAATAGAGAGGTATTTTAAAATAAAACGGACCGGTATTTCGTCTTTTCGTCGGTAATGGATCTTAAACGTACTAGCACGTGAGCGGTTTGGTGAGTCTCACAGGCCGGCGACAAGGTTGCCACTTCGCCTGCATACAAACAGTCAGGTCTGAATGGAATACGTGTTTGTCCCGTAGGGAAGACATGCACATGGTGCAAAGCTTACTATCTCCATTCTGTACCCATTCATCTTGCTCTCCCTTCTCTCCTCCCACCTCTGTTAGTTGTTTTCCACACCTTACAGTGCTTTTTCAATGCAAATACAAATATATGTGCTTATTCTCTCCCTCATCCAAAAGCTAGAATACTTTATATCTGCCATTCTGTCCCTTTTTTTGTTGAACAATATATTTTGGACATCTTTCCTTATTGCTCCAAAGAGATTGTTTTCATTCCACAACGAATGTGTCTTTTTTTTTTTTTTTTTTTAAAGATTTTATTTATTTATTTGAGAGACAGAGAGCATGAGAGGGGGAAGGGTCAGAGGGAGAAGCAGACTCCCTGCC